GGCTTGCATGTACACACTCAAAAAATACTTTGAAATGAACAAGGAATAGACAAGACCAAAAACAAATTACAAAAAGAAAGTGGGCTAGCTGGGCATGGGGGCACACCTGTAATCCCAGAGGCTCAGGAGACTGAGGCAAGAGAATCACAAATTCAAGACCAGCCTCAACGGTTTAGCAAGGCATAAAACAAATTAGAAGACAGTCTCAAAATAATAAATAAAAGGCTGAGGATGTGGCTCAGTGTAAAGCACCCTGGTTCAATCCTGGTACCAAAAAAATTAAATAAATAAAAGAGGCTATCCTTCCATCCCCCATTTCTTCAACTTCCTGTTTACCATTCCCTCCCACTTATACCTCCCCTAGCCTACTTTTCTGTTCCTTTGTAGGCAGCAGGTATGGCACTGAATTCTTACCATGTTCCAGGCACTGTTTTTTTATATATGGTTTTATATGGACTAATTAGGTTCACATCACACATAGAAAAAGCACATCATACATAGGAAAGGCTAACTTGGAAATAAAAAATAAATTTGTAGAAGATAAACATTCTGAAGATGGATGGTAGTGATTTTTGCATGATAATATGAATATACATAATTGCCACTGAATTATACACTTGAAAAGGCTTTAAAAAGCCAAGTGTGGTGGCATATGCTTTTAACCCCAACAGGAGGATCTCAAGTTCAAGGCCAACCTGCACAACTTAGCAAGACAAGTCTCAAATTTTAAAAAAAGAACTGGCAATGTAGTTTAGTGGTAAAGCACCCCTGGATTCAATCCCCAGCAAGGAAAAAAAAAATTAAAATGGTAAAATTCTTCTGGGTATTTGACCACAATTTTTAAAAAATTAATCTGTATAATAGATCAAGACCCATACAGTTTTGGAAGAAAAGAAACTAATAAGTTTCAAAGCAGCACAGTATGGATAAAAACAAAAACAATAAAACTTGGAATTAAATGTCCTGGGTTTAGGGTTAGGTTAAGGGGAATGTTAATAAGAAAGAAGAGTCCTGATTCCCTCACCAAGGTTTTCTACTCAACTGGCAAACTGCTTCAAAAAAACTGTTTCCACCTACAATCAGATTCAGGAGCTACTGACCTCCAGCAAGCTTTCCATACAGTCACCTTCCACCTTGCACAACATGACCCCCTCCTGGGGTAGCAGTGGTGAGCACCTCTATCTTGTTTTGCCAGCAAAATGCAGAGGAACCCAACGTGCACGTGCAGCATGTTATGCCAAGTGTAAACCCCAGTGCAGAGAGCAGGTGTGCAGAAATCCTGAAATCACGTGCAACAACAGACTGCGCCTTTCTAAGCCCACCCTTTTCATCTGTAAAAGCTTTGCTCCTCTCAAACTCAGAAAGCAATCTGGGAACCCTAAACTGTGCACTGTCTCCCTTGTACCTGAGCAGAAATCCCAAGAAAACCTCATTCAGATGATATTGCTTGTCTCTGTGATTTCTATCTCAAGGGGAGCAAAAGGCTCAAATGAGCTGATAACACTAAGAGCTTTATAAAACCAAAATGAGCTGGCAACATCAAAAAGCTGAACTTTGCCTTTCACAGGTATATTCTCTAGGATCCCAAGTTCTGTACAAGGAGTTACAGATATCAATGCCCATATGGAACTTGCAGTGATTTTGTGTAGATTAAAAAAAAAAAAAAAAAAAAACAGTGTTTTCTAAACTATAAAATAAGATATAAATGTAAAAACATTTTACTACTTTGTCTTTTAAAAGTAAAAACAGGGCTGGGATACAGTTCAGTTATACAGCACTTGACTAACAAATATAGCTGGAAAGTCACTCACAAAAATTGTTAACCTACAGTTTCCTTCAGTGATATGACTAATAGTTTGGGAGGATTTCTTTTTCTTGGGGTGATGGGTTTCTCCATTCCCTAAGTTTCCATGTTTTGCACTCAAATAAGTGTGGTAAGCAGAAAAAAAAAAAAAAAGGTTATATATTATGGTGACAACTGGACTTTAATACTTTATTTCACTGCACATTCTAATTTATATTCTTTACCAAACTTCACCAAATCTTAATAACTAAATATTAAAATACTCATTAAAACCTGATCATAAGGAGCTAGGGTTGTGGCTCAGTGGTACAGTGCTTGCCTGGCATGCATAAGGCACTGGTTTCAATCCTCAGAACCACATAAAAATAAAGATTGTGTCCACTAAAACTAAAAATAAATATTTTTTAAAAAACTGATCATAAGGCCACAGTTGCATACAACTTTAATCCCAGCTATGGGAGGCTAAGGTAAGAGAATCACAAGTCTAAGGCCAGCTTGGGCAACTTAGCAAGATCCATTCTCAAAAACTAAAAAGGCCTGGGGATATATAGCTCAGTGGTAGAGCACCTCTGCGTTCAATCCCCAATACTGGAAAGAAAAAAAAAAAAAATGATCATAAGAAAACTTTTCCAAAGGAGAATAAGCCATTTAATAATATATTTTAAGCTAGAAAATAGGGTCACTATGTTAAGTACATGAGTGTACAACATATTTGTTTTCAGAAAATTTTACCTATGCTTAAAATAAAAATTTTCAAGAGAAAAGAGAACAATGTCAATTTTCCAGGAACCACTTTTTAGCTCACTGAACCTAACCCTACAGAATTTATTATATTTCAGTAATGTAATACACCAAAATCTTAACTAGTCATTATATTTCATTGTTACAAATAATTTTATTATTTTAATTATATCTTAACTAGTGATTATATTCCATTGATAGTTACAAATTATTTTATGTATTGAGGTTAATATTTTCAATTTTTTTCAGAAAGATTCAGGATTATCTTTTAAGTAAAATAGACTGTCATTTTACTACAGTAGTTGTAACAAAGTCCTTTGGACATCAAATTAAAACAATCTAATATCTGGCAATTGATTAAAGTTATCTCTCACTAGAATGAAAACAGAAAATAATTATACTATATGAATAGGGCTATCCAGGAAAAATTCAAGCTTCATTTCAACAGTTTTATGAAACTCATTTCTAATGAGGAAAGAAGCAAAAAATCTTAAAAGCCTAGTGAGGCAAGCTTTGAATAAGGCCAATCTGAGGAGGCCTTCAGCAGTGATGAGTGGCAGAGTCCTTTTTTACTGACCTGTACATAACTCCAAACACCATTTTCTAAGAGACTTATACCTAAAAACAAAATCTTCAATGGAATGTAATGATTTCCTTAACATTTCCTGTTGTAACATTTTTGCTTATTTTAATTCTGTATTCAGTTCTAAAACTGAACATAAAGAGTTTACTCAATAGTTCTCAGACACAGACACATTTTTAAGTACTCAATACCAGGCTGAAGTCTGTTCCTCATTATCAAAGACAGACAAATACGTTTTTGTCTGCTGGTTCCAGGGGTAAAAGAGAACACCTGTATTTAAAAAACTAGGAAAGGAACCTGCCCTACGCAGTGTAATTCTGAGCATTTACTAAACTGTCAAGCTTCAGAAAAAGAGAAAGACTATTGATACAGGACCTAAAAAGTTCTAAAGGAAACAAATTTACATGGAAGATAATAAAATTAATGGCATAAAAGACAATAAATCATGTATAATTCTTGTTTTCCAGAGGCAATGGTAATGAAGCCACAGGCTCACATTTCCAGCCTCAAACACTTCTGGTTTTACATTATATAACATGTCAAAGTCATTAAGTGGACACAAAAGGATATGTGTTAAAAGAGTTCTCCATAGTTGAGTGTACTGGTGCACATCTGTAATCCCAGTGACCCCGGAGGCTGAGACAGGAATATCACAAGTTCGAGGTCAGCCTCAGCAACTTAGCAAGGCCCTAAGCAACTTAGTAAGATCCCGCCTCAAAAAAATAAAAAGGGCTAAGGATATGTATGGCTCAGTGGTAAAGCATCTCTAGGTTCAATTCCTAGTACCAAAAAAAAAGAAAAAGAAAAAAGAGTTCTCCCTATTAGTCCCCTTAATATCAGGTTAAAACCTAAGTTGTGGTATATGCAATATGGTTATAAATAATAATACACAGTAAACTGCTCCCTTAAGGTAACTGGTTTCTCATTAGCTTGTGACAAAGTTCAAATTTTTCAAATATTTAGTACCATATCATTCAGTTATTAAGACTTCATCCTGAAAATTCCTCCCATTCCTCTAAGAGAAAAATTAATACTAATCTGAAAAGGATTCTTAGGAAGAAGCAAGCTAATGCCTAAACATTCTCAAAATACTTTCCCGGAAATGCCCAGGCACTGTATAAATAAACTGGCAGATAAAATATTTCTTAAAACATTCAAGAAACAGTCTGTCAAAGAACTCAAAATGTTTTGTGTATAGATTATAGCTTCCTCAATCCTCACCAGACCCCAATTAGTAAAGACAGCACTAATCAGACTTGGCTAATGGGACAAAAAGAGCTCCTGATTTGGACCAAAACTGCGAAAAAAGGCAGAAATTTCCTTAAGAATAAGTAGGTAGAACTTCTAGCAATTCTCCCAATTTTGTTTCTGTGCAATGTTAACTGTTATATATACACTGAAAACAAGACAAATCCTAAATACCTAAATGACAACTAGAGCAAAACTATATATAGAACATCTGTCTATAAAATTAAACTCTCATGATGTAAGACCTTAAAAAACTATGTTCATTTGCATTATTATGGATTTGCCAGTGAATCAAAAGCACAATATATATACTTTTGATTCTCTAAATAATAGATTGTATCACTGAAATAAAGAACTTGATTTTTACTAGCTCATAAATTTTAGTACTTAACTGCCAGAATTTCTGGGGAAATTTTTTTAAAAGGCCTCTGGATCTCAACCAATGTTATTTCTCTGTGCTTTGTATATACAGTTAAAAGTTATTACCAAGGTCATTAACAGAGAAGAAAAGCAAGCAACTCCCACAAATAGGAAAGTAAAACACTACAGCACCAAGGGGAAAAACCCAGTTAAATACAAGAAACCTGAAGTAAACACATGGTTAAATATCATGTAGCCATTTACCTTCACTGAATTCATTTAGCAACTCTTCCTTGGTCCAATTACATGAAGTTATTAGGAAAAAACCTTTTACTCTTAACACGCTGGAGAGAGATTTCACATACTGCTTCCTCTTCTCAACTGCATTGTCAGGATTAAGGCTGATGGCATCAAAAGTTCCTTTATCAATACAAATATGAAATCCAGACAGCTTTGTGGAAAGATTCAAAAAGTCTTCTACCTAAATTAAAAATCAATGTCTGTGTGAGAACAATTAAGATATAATCTTCAAAGAATTTAAGTGACAACTTGTAAAAGATCATGAATAAAAACCCATTAATTACAACGGCATTTTACATATAATAAACATATTTTCAACTTTATAGCTAACTTTTATGAGTTTCATTCCAAAATCATTAAAGCCAAGATTAGTTAAGAGGGGTTGATAGGGTTTCCTGGACATTCCAAATGTCTTCAAATCTGGAAACAAATCAAAGCCAGGCGTAGTACTGCCTAATACTTGCACATTATAGTGCTCACAAGTCTGGTTTTATGAAAAAGTTGTTTGTGACAAAAAAGTAAAATATTTGACATATTTATCAAACTGACAAAAATCTATTTGGAATGCAGGCCACTGGAAATAAGATTGTTAGCTTATATTCCTAGTCGTGTGACCTAAAGTAAACATGGTAAATCAGAAATTCTTTTGCTTTGCCTTTTCAGCAGTCCACAAAACCCCTACTGAGTATAATAAATGACATGAAGCTCAAAAAATTAAATAACTGTTTAAACTGTGATTATTTAACTTGGTAAATACCATGAAGTTTAGATTTTTACAGTCATACATCAGCAACCTATTTGCAAAAACCCAACACAATTTAAGTATTTGAAACAGAGAGATGTCTCAATTTTATAAAATATTCACAAAAATTTACCAGTGGTCTTTATTCTTAAAAGCTACTTTTAAAAAAATCCAGTAATTAGCTCATGATTATTAATTCAAGTTTAATAAAATAATTGTAATGAGTTTTATGTAAAACCCCTACTGACTTAAACATGCGTATATTATGTACTTATGTTTGAAAATGGGTTTTGTCCTCTCCCTCATAACCAAAGTACAGAATTCATTATACTGAAACAAAATAATGACAATCACCTGAAGAGTTAACTTCAGAGACGTTTCCTCATCCTAAATACATGTACAAAAGTACTCCTATACTCAATAAATAGATTGTGTATACTTATGTGCATTTGCAGGTACTTTTCAAACACAAGATATAACAGTAAATTAAACAAAAAAGTTCCCTTAATAGAATATGCCTTGGGGCTGGGGTTGTGGCTTAGTGATAGCGCACTTGCCTAGCATGCATGAGGCACTGGGTTCAATTCTCAGCACCACATACAAATAAATAAAATAAAGGTTCCATCAACAACTAAAAAATATTTTTAAAAAAATACAATAGGCCTTATAGAGTCTATAAAAGGAGAGATAAACAATAAATAAGCTGCTATGGTTTGAATGTGTCTTCCAGAATTTGTATATTGGAAATTTAACCTCCAAAGTCATATGTTTGAAAGTAGGACCTTTGGAAGGTCCCTAGGTCATGAGAGCTCTCCTCATAAATGGATTAATGGGTTATTGAAGAAGTGGTTCTGTAACAAAAGTAACAAACTCTCTGTGGTACACTCGCTCTGTCTATATGATGTCCTCTGCAAGGTTATGATCCAGGAAAGACCTCGTTAGTGTGATGTTTTTTAGACTTCCCAGCCTCTAGACCTGTGAGCTAAATAAATCTTTTTATATATAATATATAAATCTTTTTATATTACCCAGTCTGTGGTATTCAGTGACAGCAGAAGGAAAAAGAAAAATACCCTAAGACATAAGCTAAAAAAATAATTTCAATAAAGTGCTATTAATAAGACAGTAGGTGACAGGGATAAGAAATATTTTGGGGACTGGGGATGTGGTTCAAGTGGTAGCACGCTTGCCTGGCATGCGTGCAGCCCGGGTTCAATCCTCAGCACCACGTACAAACAAAGATGTTGTGTCCGCTATAACTAAAAAATAAATACTAAAGTTCTCTCTCTCTCTAGACTCTTTCTCTCTTTAAAAAAAAAGAAAAGAAAAAGAAAGAAATATTTTGGAAGTAGTCTGGAAAGGCATTGCTAAGGTAATATTTGGGCAGAGATCAGAGTGATGAGAACAAGCCAAAAGTGCTAAGTAGTGGGACAAGAACAATGTTGGCAGAGGAAATCAGGACCAAAGAACAAGCTTAATATGTTTCAGGAAAAGAAACAGCCAGGGTGACTACAGAGTAATGGATAAAGGAGAAAACAAGTAAGAAATGAGGGACTTTGTAAGGCTGGGTTTGGGTTTTGGATTCCACTCTGAATACAAAGGAAAGACAAAGGCAGATTGTGAGCAAGAAAATGATGTGAATTGATTTACTCTGTGTGTGTGTGTGTGTGTATGTGTGTGTTGTATACTGGGGATTTAACCTAGAGGCACTTTATCACTAAGCCATAACCCCAGCCCTTTTTATATTTTTTCTATTTGAGACAAGGTCTTGCTAAATTGCTTTTAGGACCTTACTAAATTGCTGAGGCTGGCCACAAACTTGTGATCCTTCTGCCTCAGCCTGGAGTCACTGGATTATTATAGGCATGCGCCAGCGTGCCCAGTTAATTTACATTTTAAAAGATCCCTCTGGCTACCCTGTAGTATATGGGCATCAGAGCTGCAAGAGTAAAATAAGGCAAAATAAAGGGCTCCTTGCTGTGGTAGTCTAGACAAGAAATGATGGTAGCTTGGACTTGGCAGGTAGCACTTGAAGTATAAAAGGAATGCTCACATTTCTGATATACTCTGAGAATAAAACTAAAAGAACTGGAGAGAAGGTTCAAAGGGAAAAAAAGAAAAGATTCCAGGATGACTCCCTGGGTTTTGGGTTAGTGCAACATGGTGAAAGGTGGCATTATTAATAGAGACAGGAAAGACTAAGAGCATGTTTAAGGAGGAGCGTGTTTCATTTTGGTCTAACCAACCTAAGAGACTTAGTTATTCTAGTAGAACTTTAGACAGTTTTACATAATTCTGGAATTCAAGCAAGAGGTCTGGCTAGAAACAAAAATTTAGGAATCATGATCTCACAGAGTCTAGGACACAAAAATAAACCCAATGATCTTTGGGGGCATCATACCATTCTAGGAATCCACAGCTTTTTAATGTGGCTAAACCACAATTAGGTATTATTTTATGTTCTGCAAACATGCTGGGGAGTAGTATGAACACCCATGTACACAAGGAAGAAGATAATCCTCCTAAACTGACTAAATTAAAATTTTAATAGTTTTTTTTAAATGTTTCAATTTGTATTATTTATCCTTACTTTGAGTTCAAACAATCTCAGCACGTTTTTAATATACTTTGGAAACATTTAAACTTTATAACTTTTATTATAAACAAAAGAATTATAGGAATATAAAAAATAGTTACCTTCAAGTTAATGTTAGATAACCCTTCTTTCTCTATAATATTTCCAGAAAGCTGAATTGCAGAAGGAGAATAATCAATTCCAGTAATATTAGAAAAACCAAATTTTGCCTAAGACAAAGAAACAATGTAATACTTCAGTTTAAATTTTAATATAATGTTTCATCTCTGAATTACAATATTCCTTTAGTAGTGGAATTGTTTTAATTATTTTTTAGATCAAATGACATATAATATCCAATAATCCACCATGTTTAAATTTTATTGTACAGTCCAAACAGAAACCAAAAGTTTACATTTCTATGACAATTCATTTGGTTTTATAAATATTTTGATTTCTTTTTCAAAAAAAAAAATTCATTTTATCAAAGATAATAAAAATATATGTATTTTTTTTAAATATTTACTTATTTATTTATTTAAATAAATATTTATTTATTTATTTAAATATTTACTTCTGGGGCTGGGGATATGGCTCAAGCGGTAGCACACTCGCCTGGCATGCGCGGGGTGCTGGGTTCGATCCTCAGCACCACATACAAATAAAATAAAGATGTTGTGTCCACTGAAAACTAAAAAATAAATATTAAAAAAAAAAATTCTCTCTAAAAAAAAAAAAATTTACTCACCAATTCATACAAAAATGTATCATAAATTTTATTTAACCCAATTAAGTATACGAATAAATTAAATGCACATATAGGAAGTTATTGATTTTAAAGTTTTTCCCTCAGTGTAATTATAAATTATTCAATTCTCTACCAGCCATGTGATTAATCACCCTATTTGCATAGTACTTTTTCATTTTCTAAATATTCCATAATTTCATTAGAATTTTACAAAAACTATGCATTAGGCTGTACAGGGGCTAATAAGGAGTTAAAGAAAACTACTGGATTTGAGGATTTTGCCATTTATTAGCCACAAATCCTCCTAAGGTGTGAGGCACCTGTAGCAAAAGCATGGTGGCTTCTGTTATTCATCCATCCCCTAACTACAATGAACATTTTTAGACCAATGAAGCTAAAAACAATTTCAAAGGAAATTAAAAAAAAAAAAAAAGACAGCTGCAAAATATAGTGTGGTCTAAAATTCCCTTGGTGTTTTTCACCATTTACTAATTGGTTACCACCTTCAAAACTTAACCTACTCCCACACCACCCATTCAGACTTATCTAGGCTTTTCAACCCCAAGACACTGATTCCTAATCTAAACTCAATGAACAAATATACCAATTAATTTAGACAGGGCATGCATTTTTTTCTCCTTTTAATTACTTTTATGTTTAACCTTGAGATCTAAATATCTCCTTTTTTGATGCCAACATCCTATACTTTTAGCTGTCTCCCTTCCTACTATTTGGAATTTTCATTTCTTCTTCTTTTTTTTTTTTTAATTTGTTCTTTTTAGTTATACATGACAGTAGAATGTATTTGACATACATACATGGAGTATAACTTCCTATCCTTGCAGTTGAAGAGAATATACAGTTACATTGATTGTGTGTTTATTTTTATTTTTTTAGTTGTGGATGGACACAATACCTTTATTTTATTTATTTACTTTTATGTGCTGAGAATAAAGCCCAGTGCTTCACACATATTAGGCAAGTGCTCTACCACTGAGCTACAACTCCAACCCATGTGTTTATTCTTATAGCACAACTTATAAAAAACATAGACTGCCAGGCGTAGTGGCACACGCTTGTAATCCCAGCTGCTCAGGAGGCCAAGGAAGAAGAATCTCGAGTTCAAAGCCAACCTCAGCAACAACAAGGTGCTAAGCTATTCAGTGAGACCCTGTCTCTAAATAAAACACAAAATAGGGTTGGAGATGTGTCTCAATGGCCAAGTGCTCCTCAGTTCAATCCCTGGTACGCAAAAAAAAAAAAAAAAAAACACTTTCGGTTTCTAGAACAATCACTTGGAGCCTCAAACTATCTCCAATGTTTTCCACATTCAATTTTTGGCACCAATGAAAAATAAGCAGACATTCAAGCAAACAATAAATGATCAAAAAATCAAGAGAAAAACTAACATTAGAAACAGACCCAAAGGAGAATCAAATAAAAGAATTACCAGAAACTGAAATAAATGACAATGACAAGATGGAGAATTCTGGCAGAGAACTAAGAACTTTAACAATGAACTGAATAAATAACAGAACTAAAACACTCAATAATTAAATTAAGAAACTCAAGGGTGGGCTTGATAGCAGATTAGACACAGCAAAATATTTTTTTTTAAGTGAAGAAAATATCCCTCTTAAACTCAGAATGACCAAGGTATGAAAAATTAAAATGAAAAAAACCTAAAAACTCTAATATGGCACAGAATATAACCTTTGATATAAAAATATATGTAACCTCAGAAGAAGAAATGAGACTGGGGTAGAAAAGAAAAAGTATATGGATAAGCATTTTGCCATACTGACAAAGGGCCCTAAACCACAGATACAGAAGCCCTATAAACTTAAAGCAAGATTAAAAAAAAAAAAAAAATTCTTACATACATATTTCTGATGAAAACCAAAAACAGAAAAATTTCAAAAACATTCAGCGAGTAGAGGTGAGGAGCATAAGGGGTCAGATTATCTTCAAAAGGCCATCAGTTTTACAGTTGACAACAAATCACAAACAATAGACACCAAAAGACAATGAAATAAAAACACCAATCTAAAATTATTTGGCAAAAAAATATCTTCCAAAAATGTAGGTATAATCAATGGAAAAGTACTAAAAAAGCAATGGTCATCAATAGGTACTAACAACAAAAAGGCAGACAACCAAACATTCTATGCCACATGTGTATGCCACCACCTAAAAATGTACCTGCCTTTTTTGGTACATTTTTAAAAAAGAATGCAAAAATCTCTGAATCAGGGGTCAACAAACTTTTCTAAAAAGGAACGGAGAATATACATTTTAGGCTTTGCCAGCCACACAGTCTATGTTGCAGTTACTCAACTCTACCATTGCAGCACTCAAGCAGCCACAGACATTATGTAAATCAATGGATGTGGCTACATTCCCACAAATATATATAAAAACAAAGGAAGCCCAGATTTGACACATATGCTGTAGCTTGCCAAACTTTATTCTTTTTTTTTTTTATTTTAATATTTACTTTTTAGTTATCGGTGGACACAACATCTTTGTATGTGGTGCTGAGGATCGAACCCGGGCCGCACGCATGCCAGGCAAGCGCACTACCGCTTGAGCCACATCCCAGCCCCCAAACTTTATTCTTGATGTAACTTCCAACCTACAGTCAGTCAGTCAGTCGTACATAGGGAAGCATAAAACATGTTAAATCCTGCTATTAGACAATCCACACAGCGGAAAACCATTTGGGACAAATGAACTACTTTCTACAACAGATCAATTGTAAAGTTAAAGAAAAAGTGAAGAAAGAACTTTAAAAGCCTTGAAAGACATTTAGACCAGGGCTGGGGTTGTGGCTCAGTGGAAGAGCACTTGCCTAGCATGTGTGAGGTACTGGGTTCAATTCTCAGCACTGCATATAAATAAAGTCCATTGACAACTAAGGAAAATAAAAAATTAAAAAAAAGACACATAAACCAATTTGCAAAACCAATTTTTTTAATCAAAAAGAAACCAATTGCAATGTGTGGACTTACTACCAGAAAAGTCCATGAACTGGAAAACAGATTAATGTAAGTACTCAAATTTGACCAACAGAGGAAAAAAACGATTTTAAAAAAATGAACAGTGAGGAATACATATATAGGTCAATACAAAATGAACTGACACTTATATTTAGAAACTCTTGAAAGGCAACAGAACATAATTCAGAAAAGATGTATTTGGGGGCTGGGGTTGTGGCTCAGCGATAGAGTGCTTGCCTAACGTGTGCAAAGCTCAGGATTGATCCTCAGCACCACATTAAAAAAATAAATAAATAATATAAAGGTATTGTGTCCAACTAAAAAAAAAAAAACTTTGGAAAAAAAAGAAAAGATGTATTTGAAGAAATAAAGGCAAAAAATTCCCAAATTTTAAAGACATAAGATTTCAGTAAACACCAAATAGGATAAGCACAAAGGAATCTAAGCAGCACATCATAAAGTACACTGCTAAAAACTAAAGATAAGAAAATTGTGATAGCATCCAGAAAAATGACACATTTATGGGAAAACAACAATTCAAATGACTACAGATTTCTCATCAGAAACAATGCAAGTCAGAAAAAGAGGCAGAACATTTTCAAAGTATTGAAAGGAAAAAAAGAGCTCAGAATTCTATATTCAACAAAATTCTATATTCAGCCTATAGTGCCAGATACACAGGAGATGCAGGCAGGAGACTGAAAAGTCCAAGACCAGCCTGAACAACTTAGCAAACCCCCATCTCACAATAAAATTTAGGGCTGCACCCACCTGATTCCCAACTTTTGGCCATCCCACTGAGTATTCCTGGACCTAGTCACATATGCAGGAAGAACAAAGCAAGCCTAAGATATATAAAAAGGCAGAACACTTCCCTTCTTGGGATACCAGGATACCAGCTATGGCCCACTTCTCCTTCCCAGGAGAAGTCTATGTTACCTCTTTTTAAATAAAACCTGATTTATTTAAAAAAAAAAAAAAAAGACATGAGAGTATTTTCCCCTCGTGAGCTGGCCATGCAAGGACACATCAAGAAGATGGCCATCTGCAGAACTTGAGGGGAGCTCTCACCAGATACCACATCTAATGGCCCCCTTATCTTGTACTTACCAGTCTCCTGAGCAGTAAGAAATAAATTTCTATTATTTATAAACGGAAAAAAAAACATTAGGGCTGGAAATGTGGCTCAATGGTGAAGTATTTGCCTGGCACACACGAGGCCCTAGGTTCAATCTTCAGTAATTGAAAAAGAAAAAAAAAAACCCTTAGACAAAAAGGTAAAATAAAAACATTCTCAGATAAAGAAAAAAATTTGTTGACATAAAACTCTCTTTAAAATGATTTTTGAGGGGCTGGGGATGTGGCTCAAGTGGTAGCGCGCTCGCCTGGCATGCGTGCGGCCCGGGTTCGATCCTCAGCACCACGTACAAAAAAAAAAAACAAGGATGTTGTGTCCGCCGATAACTAAAAAATAAATATTAAA